GTTTTTAATCTGAAAGGCATATTTGCAAAGATAAACGTACATAATGAGGTTACCTTGGAAACGTGCAGCGTGCTTATTGTCTGAACACTCCAAATTATCCGACAACCATTTTAATCAGTCGGATGTTTTTATCATCTCATTTGGTAATTAGAGCTAACTTCGGTTTTTTAGGATGTCTCCATATTGAAACCTACAAATAACGAAATAGCCGCCTTGAAGCTACATTTGAATCTTCAGGGATGCTTTAACTTTCATGATTGTGGAAGACCAGGTGTTAGCAATAGTTTTCTAATTGACTGAGAAGAGGGACATTCAAGAATTGTCCAACATTAACAATCTTTTACTATAGGAGAAGATAGCAGGGCAGAAGCGTTAGCAACTCACTCCGAGAAATTGCAGGCAAAAGGTTTTGGAAATGTAGGCAGTTTGGACGCTGGAATGTTTTCCGGTGATTATGGTTGCTATATAATACATGGAAAGTGCCACAATTCACAAAAAGGAATTAAAGTTTTCTTTTTAATTTCATCACCGCTTGTATGCACGTCGTCTTACCAGTAAAAGACAAATGAATATCGAATAAATAAATTGTCATTCTTCCCGTATAATTACGCGTCTGTAGTTTTAATAGTATTTAAATGAAGGGCTATTTAATCAAAAAGAAAGGTTAGTAAGGCGGAGTTTCGTTCTGAATACAGAATTTGCTTGAGGTGTAAAAAAGTCATCCGGAAAAAGGTAACAGACTGTGTTCCAAAAGAGAAAGGAGATTGTTTGCAATCTGTGCGAACTGATGGACAGGCAAATGATCTTACATACAAGTACAAGCCTTTATCTTGCGTCAACAAGTTAAACAGCTAAATTTAAGCCACAAAAATGCAAGATCGTTAAAAATTTGTTTCTGCATAGCCAGCTATCCACTGTCTCTTCTATGGACATTATGCATGAAGTTAAGTACTTCATGTAGATCGGCGACATCCGATAACTTTGCCGGTATACACCGATTAGTCAGTGTTCCTTAAAATACATAATTATGCAACGGCTTATTCTGCTTTTTACGCAGCTACAGTCGACCGTTATCTACAGGGGCTCTAAAATTTCAAGTGTGGAACGGTTCGGTTAATTGCTTTATTGTGACTTATCTAGACAAGGAAATGGTAAATATAGTTATCAAATCCTACCTATTATTGCTAAAAGTAAGGCTATGGACTATCTTTTATCGCTCTTAGCCCGCAATTACGAACTATAAGATCATATTTGATGGTTGAACTACTCAGTTTTAGCCAACGTGAATTTTCATCGTCCAGTCACCTATTCATTGTTTGAGGACTTCTTCCTAGGCATGCCGACTATTAATCCTCTCTCACTGTCTGCTAATCAGTTGCGTAGCAAGCTAGTAACTGCTGGAAGTGTTCAAAAAAGTTTTTTTCTGACAATAGCACTAAACACCGGGGTACTTGTGAAACTAATTGTGCCTTCAGAAATGGTAAATATAACATACTATACTGTCCGTCTGGTTACTCAACAAAACACATGTTAAACTTTACAGTTCCTAAGTTCGACTGATCTGGATCAATACTGGAATCCCCTATGTTATGTTGATAACATACTTTCGGAAACAAAGGAGGTTCGTTGGCTTTCGACGCAGGTAACACCCCGTGGTGAAGTCTTCATCGTCGACCGTAGGCGAGTGAGAGGGGTGTTCTTGGAGACGCTGGAACTTAACGACTTTCCCCTTGACGTCCAGGTAATGCAGCTAGACATTAAGTCTCTCAAAATGTTTGCAAGCCTAAGTCTTAACCTCGCAGATTTTCTGATTGCACTTTGTTGCCACTTTTCAGGATAGCCCAAATTTCCTAAAAAAGTTTGCACTTTCTTTGAATCTAGTCCGGCTTCAGTT